AGGACTCTTTGTGGATGGAATATGTCAATCATGTGGGGAGAATATAGAGACAGTGGATCATGTCTTCTTCCACTCCAAAAAAGCCAAGGAGGTTTGGAAGGCTGCACCAATTCATTGGGACATTGCTGTGAACTCTTCAACAAAATTCAGACACTGGTGGCATGATGTATGCTCTGTGAGTAAGATTGAAGTTTGTGAAGCTAGAATAGAGCTATCCACATATATCTTGTGGTGGCTTTGGAAAAGTCAAAATCTTTGGTTGTTCAAAAAAGAATGGTTGTCTTCTTTGGTAATTGTTAAAAATGCTCTGACTGATTGGAAATAATTGTCCATAAAGAATGCAGATAGCAGGGTGGATAGCAGGCAACAGTAGCAAGAAGGAAGTGGGTCTAGGTTTGTTGAGTTTAGTGGGCGCTTCTCTTTTTGGTGCTATGTCTTGTACCTGCTTTTGTCATTCTCTGGTACTTGTGTAGGGCTTTTTTCCAGTTTGATGGTTGTTTTTGTTATTATTTCTGTCTTGTGGTAGGCTTGTTGGAGGCTAAGTGTAGTTCTAAGGGTTACAATATGTTCTCTGGCATTAGAATGTACATTTGGCTTCTCTGTTATTCTGTTCTCCTTAGTTTAGCTTCCTAGAGCATCTTAGGTATGATGTCTCTCTTGTATTAGGGTCAGTTGGCTCTCGGGTTGTATTCATGTACATTCAATTATATATATTTCCTATCGTTTGGGAAAGAAAAAAAAAAACCACTGCTAATACTTGCTCGAAAGAGAGAGACTAGAGTACTAATCGATTAATTGTACTATTGATATATATTTTTTTTTTTAAAACGATAGAAGAATTCTCATACCAAAAAAAGCAAAGTTTTACAAATCGTGGGATTAACTAGCCCAAGTATCAAATTATTATCCTGTTGGGATCAGACACTCAGGTATTATCCTGGTGGGATCTTTTGTTTAGTCGTTTCCGTTGTTGTTTGTGTAGTTAGTTAGTGTAGTTGCGAGTGTTGTTATTCTACCTTTGCTAGAGTCGGGATTCTAGGCGGTCTTCTGATATGTCCTCCCATTTTTTCAGCTATTGGTTGTTACATTCAGCTAGGGGCTGTGTATTTACACATTTGTGCATTTTGATTTATAATATTTCTTATCGTTTCAGAAAAAAAATAAAAGAAAAAAAAAACTAGCCCAAACTTTCAAAAGCCAGACCAGAGGGTCACTCAACCAATGTATCCAAACAGGAACAAATTAAGCAACCAACAACCAAACTAAACCCCAAGTATAAACCAATAAATTACACAAAAGTTTTTGAATAAGATATAAAGGAATATTGGGTGGTTAGAAGTAATATTTTTTTATTAAAAAGGTTGATTGAGTAAAGATTTTGAGAAGAAAATTTAAATTTGTGTTTTAAATAGTATTTAAAATGTAATAATTAATGTTCATGTGTAATATAAGTAGAGTAATGCTATAATAGTGTACATAGAGGTGTACATTATACTCATATTGAGTGAGTCCCACCAAAATTAAAAAATCAAGTGGACTCCACTCCATGTGAGTGTTATGTACATCCCTATGTACATTTATTATGTACATGTAGAATTTTCCAAGTAAGTATGAGTGAAGTTATTAAAAATGGTAGTTATTTAAAATTACATGAATAGATGAATAGTGAATTAAAATTGATTTGATGTGTGACATTGATTGATTAATATTATTAAATTATATTGTTAATGTTGAGAAGAGTTAAGTTGAATTAAATTTGAATAGAATTTGAGCTAAACAAATTGTAAGAAATATATCCAAATAATCAATAATGGTTATATTTGTATGTAATGGTCTCATGAATTATCTCTGAGTAATGCATACACTATTATAATTATTCATCTTGTATGTGCAATGAATTTGTCATGGTCTAAGTTTTACAATTGCTTAATTAACTATTACAAATGTTGTTGTTATGATGTCCAATTATTAAATAATCATACTTTCTCGTGAAGAATGATATTTATACAATAAAGTGTAATACCGTTGTTTAGTCAGTTTTGCTAAGAAACCAACAGTTGGCTTCATAGTGGATCCAACTTTCTATATACAACAAGTAAGACTACAATATTCTTTGATTACTTAAATAACACTAATATAATTTTATTAATATGGTATGATTTACTTGCTGTATACAGAATGTTGGCTCCACTATGAAGTCAATTGTTGGCTTCATAGCAAAACCGGATGTTTATATTATAATTTGTAGTATGACATTTGATTATAAAAAACATAAATTGTTTAAATATATAGTTGTTTACAGAGGCAGATCTGCATACTATATAGGGGGCTGTGGTGCCCCAGAAACTTTTAATATTTTACCATGTTATACTTACACTCAATAATTATTACTAATTATTATATTGCTTTGTCTATCATTTTTATGTATATTATATTTTTGTAAGTAATTTTTTCACCACTCATCTATAATATTTGGTGTTTTGTCTTTGTAATATAGGATTTAATTAAATTGAATGTACGATACATGTAACATCTTAAAATTAAAATTTTTGAAATAGCAGAACATGCAATATATGCAATTTCGTGGAATCGAAAAGTTATCGCAAGAACTATTAACAATGAATTAATTGTTAATGAATCCCCTTAAAGAAGAAGAAAAAAATGTTATTAAGTCTTGGGATCTAAAATAATCTCAAGCAAAATTTTAAAATACCAAAATTCATAAGTTATATATTTTGTAAAATATTTTTATTATTTATTTTATCTATTTATATATAAAGAAATTTTATACCTTATATGTGTATGTTATAAAAATTATATATACTCTCTAAATGTGTTATTCAAGTGGAGTAAAGCAAAAATATCTCTTATATCCAAGCTCGTGTTTGATTGATAAATGAATCAGCTCGTCTTGACTCATTTAAAAAACAAGTGAGACCAAATTCAGTTAATACACAAATTTGATTAAGTGTTTGAGTTTAGTTCGTTTAATTATAAGAACGAGCTTAGCTCGAGTTTTTAGGAGTCAAACCGAGTTATATTCGCAAACATTTTTGTTTGAATAACAACTCTAGTCCCCCCAATTTTTTTTTCTAGGCTCGCCCCTGATTGTTTAACCATTAAGAATGAATATTCATGGTGCTAAATTAAATATGAGCTTACGGATAAGTTGTTTCTTCTAAAAGTGCAATCTATATGAGTAAAAGTTTAAGACTTTTCAAAAAGCCTATCTCGAATAATTTGATTTCTAAAAATATTTTTTCAAGAGTGCTCCCAAATAAGCATACATTTAAGTTTTGCATTGGTGCTTATTAATTATTAATTAACCCATTGAACTATTAGTATTCTAAATAATATCAAATTGTTGTAAGTGTAATACTAAAGTAATGTTATGTGACCCTATTTTTCATGTCATGTTCTTGCACGCCATTTTCTTATAACTATCCGTTTTTTAAATAGTTAATTGATTAGGCAATTTTTCATATAATGCGTTCTTAGTCATGACCAAAACATGGGCCTGATCACGGGCCGACGGGCCTCTGGGCTCAAAAATAAGGATCCGGACCCGGCAAGGACCTATGCTCATGTCAGATCAATGGCCGGTCAACTGGCCGGGTTCAGGTCCGTTTCGGATCGTCATTTTTGGGAAAATATATAGAATGCTATTGAAAAATTTGAAAAAAAAAAAGCAGGTGGCTGGTCCGGCCCGCAAGGCCATGGTCATGTAATGAATGACCCTGAAAATGGCCCATAAAATTCCGGTTCGGTACCAGACCCGCGGTCAATGGGTTTGACTAGGCAGGGTCCGGGCTAGGTGGGCGGGCCGTGAGGCTCGTGGCCATGTCTATGCGTTCTTGCGCGCCAATTTTCTCATAACTACCCGTGTACTTATGAGTGTTAAATATCATAAATATAAACATAAAAAGTAAAAACTAAATAATCCCTCCTATATATAATTACTGAATGCACTGAGCTTAAGTGGCAGACTCGCTCACTTCAGAATCTTACTTGGCGAAAAATCATGTTCCGTAATTTAGTTTGGATTTAAGTTCGGAATTCCATAAAAAATGAAAGCTAAATTGGGTAATACCATAATGTTTTGACTAATACAACCCTTAATTTACTTTGTAAACTTACTTATTGTTGTTTATATGACCAATATAGTCCTAAAATTCGTTTTGGTATCTTTCACTTTTTCAAATTGAATGTATCGATCTAAAAGATTATAATATCAAATATATATATATATATATATATCAATTTTTTATATATAGTATATCAAATTAATCATGTATTGATAAACTTTGATTTGACATCTATATTAGACATATAAAGTAATTAAATAATTTATTTATATTTATAATGAAAATTAAATTATCTATTAATATTAATTCAAAAAAATATAGTTATTTAAACTAATTTAATTATTTGATATAATATTACAAAAATATATAATATAAGATGGTTAGCTGTGTAAGTTGTGCTAATTTAAATATAAATAATAATATATTTTTTAAAAAGTGCTTAAAAAATAAAATAAATCTTTTGTTGTTTTTATTATTATTTAATTTGACGTATAATTTTCTTAACAAATACCCGTGTATACACGGGTATGGTACCAGTAACTATAATTCACAAATATATGGGCACTTGCAATTTTAAAAGAACTTGTTACTTCAAGAGTAACATAATTGGACTTGGGTGTGGTGGAGCGGCATTTGTGGTTCGGTGACATAGAGAGTTGAAGCCCATCAACATGTTGGGTTCTACTTTACTAATGTACCACATATATCCAAAGCCCACTACATATCATATGGCCCAACGAGATCTCTCTCCTCCGTTCGTTCGCTTTGTTCAGTGAAAGATCTGAGTCTGCGTTCTCTCTCTCACGCTCTGCAAAACGGGTCAACTCAACCGAGTGGGGCTCCCGAAGTTAATTTCTGCAAATTTTCCATCTGAATCGGCACTAGCATTTTTATTCCGGGTCGAATTCGAGGAGGATGTCGGATCCGGAGAACACGAAGCTTGGCAGGATGCTGCTGGACGAGATCACTCCGGTGGTCATGGTCCTCCACACGCCGCTTGTAGAGGAGACGTGCCGGAAAAATGGGCTATCCCTTATTGAAATGCTGAGCCCTTTCAGCAACTTCATAAATATTGACGGTACAATCTGTGAAGCTTAAACATTTTTCATGGTGTTACGGATGTTCGGGTTCTGTAACTCATTAATTTGTTTATTGTTTCAGTACCAGTGAGAACAGCTAGTGATCAACCCTACAGACTGAGAAAATTCAAGTTAAGATTGTTTTATGCTTCAGAAATCCGGCAACCCAATATCGAGGTGAGTTGGGTAATTTGGTTCTCCATTGGACTGAGCTCTAAAGTTAACAGTTTTTAGGCTACACATACACATGTGTCCATTGATGTATCCGAGCTCTGTATACCCTATTTTTTTTATGTTGCAAACATTTATTGATTTCAAATTTTCATTATGGGTTGGGCTTAAGAGTTAAGAGGGTGAGAATTCTAACTAGGTTCGTAGATATTGGACATAGTAATTCAGTCCGGAATGCGGCAACTCTTTTTTTTTTTTTTTTCTATTTAAGAAAAATTGATTATGTGTTTGTACTCTGCCTTGTTATTGTCATCGTTGAAGTGAGGTTTTGCAAGAGTTAAGAGGGTGAGAATTCTAAATAGGTTCGTAGATATTGGACATAGTAATTCAGTCCGGAATGCAGCAACTTTTTTTTTTTTTTTTTACTTTTTAAGAAAAATTGATTATGTGTTTGTACTCTGCCTTGTTATTGTCATCGTTGAAGTGAGGTTTTGCAAGAATTAATTGCCTCCCCAGCAAGATTCATGAAGAATTAAATCACTAGAGTATATTTTGGGATGCAAGGATTGTATGTATATTTATCGGTTTATTCTGCGAGTACAAAATGGTTTTTAAATAACCAAGAGTAACGTGACAATTATAGTGGTTAGCAGTGTTATAGGCAAAGGCGTCGGGAGAGAAGGGGTCTCTAGCACCGAGGGATGCCTCTTGAACATGATGCAGAAAAAGATGAAATATAACTAAAAATTTGTTTAAGCTAGTAGTCATAGGAATTCGACAAGTAATGAAGCAATGTTTATGAACGTGTAATTTGGTTTCTTGGGGGTAAGATTGTGCTAGCAATTTCATTTACAACTTTAGAGAAATTAAAAAAAAAAAAAAATGAAATTGCAATTTCCTGCTGTTGTGGCGGTGCAAGAGAGGCCTCTGGAGGATTGAATATTTATGCCTCGCCTCTAACATAACTGGTTAATAGATGAATATTAGGGGACAATTGAAATCTATTAGCTACTAAATATCATATTGTAGCCTTCTTGGTATCAAGCAAAGCATTCATTTATGTATGTATGTCTGTTCCTTGTGTGCATTTATAATGAATATGTTACTCTTTTTGCCTACGAACATTCATGTTCATATCTGTTATTTCAACTGAACGGGTGATGCTAAATTAAAAGATCATTTTGACCCTTGTTACTTTTTCTCTGAATCTTGTTCTTGTTCACACAGTCTGCAAAGGAAAGGTTAAAACAAGTAGTCACTGAAGCGGGAGACGAGGATATTTCTGATTTATGCTCTCATCCCCCATACATTGAGTCGTTAATAGCGTGTAAGCTGTAAATCCTTCTATTTATAGTTCTGGAGATTTTATCTGTATCAAATATTTTTTAAGCTAGTAGTTGATTTATTCAGACCCTGCAGATTATATTGATATTACTTGCTTTGAAGAGTGAGTAGATTATTAATTTTGATTAATGGGTCTAGATAGAACTCATCTCCAAAAGCTAGCTCAATGGGAAAGGGTGCCCAACCCATTGTTAAACACAATAACAGCCAAACCCACTGTTATGCGCAACAATAGCCCAGTAACTACTCGATGTGGGACAATTATAACTTCTAACACCCGCCCTCACGTACAGCGTGCCAAACAATATGGGATGGGTCCAAACCCAACACCATCCCTAGAAGCTAGCTCAAAGGGAGAGGGTGCCTGACCCACACTTAATAACAACCCAGTAACTAACCTGATGCGGGATAAAACATAACTTCTCACAAATTTGTTTTATGCAGCCTCTGAGCAGGAGTTTGTACCATCTTGGTTTCAAAATTTTAACAAAGAGCTGATAGACACCGCCTCCTTTTCAGAACATGAAGCTTTTGATCATCCTGTGGCTTGTAAGTCTGTATGCATGTACTCGTAGACAAATTATTTGCTACCCGAGTGATTTGTTTTCATTTTTTATTCTGAGTTGCTCTGCTAAAATGAGTTGAGAGTTTATTTACGGAATGTTTGTCATTTGCTTTTCATGTTGGCGCAAATAGGTCTTCTTGCTGTCTCGTCACAGGATAAAGATCCAATTGACAAATTTGTTGACCTCTTCAACAGAAACCAGTTGCCCCCTCTTCTTAATGATGGCGCTATGGATCCAAATATTCTGAAGTATTTCTTATTGATACATGATAATCAAGATGGCACATTGGAAAAGTAAACTGTGATCTTCTCTTCTTCAGCTTAACTTCTGTATTACGTAGATTGTTTAACTATCACTAGATATTTTAGCATATGGATGAATATTTTGGGTATTAAGAGCTTACATTAACTTCTTTTTTTTCTTTTTTCCTTTCCATTCTTACTGTGCAGAGCCACTGGAGTCATGACAGAAATGAGGAGTACATTTGGTGCAACTGATTGCCGTTTGTTGTGTATTAATTCTTCTACGCATGGCATGGAAGAACATCAAGAAAACCCATGGGCATATTATGCAAGGATCTTTTTCATTTTCCTTTTAAAGTCACTTTCATATTTCTCCTTCAAGAACTCATGTTTACTTCTTGTTCTTTCAGAAGAACAGTACTACAAATAGCAAGCAGTTGGGTTGCTTTCTAAATATGGATGACATAGAAGCGGTATTTTCTTCCATTTGTCTGCATTTCCTCTCATGTAATTTTGTCTTGCTTGATGAGGATCACTTTTTTTTTTTTCTTTAATTCCACAGTTGAGAAGCACAATGCATGATCTATCATCTAAACATGTAATACCTCATATGGAGCAGAAGATTCGTGTGCTCAATCAGCAGGTAACTTGAGATACATGGAATTGTGCAGTTAAACTTGCTTGGTTTGCTATCAAAGTAGCAGTCGCTTGTGTTCTTGTTCTGCTTCAGTCTGATGTCTCATATGCCAGGTTTCAGCGACAAGGAAGGGTTTTAGAAACCAGATAAAAAACTTATGGTGGAGAAAAGGAAAAGATGATGCACCAGAAAATCCTAATGGCTCGATGTATGTTAGATTTAGTACTGTTGTATAATAGTGCTACATGCTTGTGTAGTTTTCGTTTCCTCTAACTTGGCTTGCTTAAGCACTATTGAAGGTACACTTATAGCTCCACAGAATCACAGATACGAGTTTTGGGCGATTATGCTTTCATGTTACGAGATTATGAACTTGCATTATCAAACTATCGGCTTATTTCTACGGATTACAAGCTTGATAAAGCATGGAAACACTATGCTGGTGTTCAGGTAATTTTTGTTTTTCGTGAACTCTTCTGTTGGCTGGTTGCTGTCTTGTGCAGTGAAAATGTCTTTCTTCATTTCCTTTATTTTCCTTCTTTCTT